GGAGCTTGCCGATGATCGGAAGCGGACACGCCCCGGGACCCCAGGTGGAAGGTGGCATCGGGATTTAAAACAAATCTGCGCAATGTTTGGGCTGAAGGGCTGCATGCATAGCTCCGTTAATGTCTCAAGCTTTAATTGTTTTCCTTGCATACAGGGTCATCAGTTAATCACCATCAAGAAAATAAGGAAACTGCTCCAAATTTGCTCCTGGGATATAGTGATCGTTGGGTGTTGGGTCGGCTGGCATGACGTGCGAGGGCAGGTCTGCCGGCAGAACATTTCATCTCAACCGTTGAACTCACAGATGTAACGTGGGCAGTTGGATGTGATTTAGCTTGCTAGATCGGACGTTCGGGGTTTCTCTGTGTGCACTTCACGGTGTGTTCATAGGAAAACTCATGTTTGCTCTTTTAATAGTAGTAGAGAAACATTTTTTTATGAAACAAGGCAAAAGATTTGCCATTTTCATTGAATAAGGAGTATTAGGGGTTTGGCCAAAGGCCAAATACAACGTATCAATCTCGCGGCATGATATTACACAAATGTTTCGCACCGGCCAGACACCATAGCGCCATCTCGTCTTTGATTCTAGCTACTAAAACCCCAACAGGCACTGCGACATTACGAAATACCCTAGCATTTTGCTCTTTCCAAATTTCCCATGAGACGAGCAGCATAAGGCAGGTAAACGGTCGTCGAGATTGCGTCGTGTTGGAAGCGTTGGCGCTCCACCAATTCTTCACCGTGTCAACCATGGCCCAGTTCTGCGGGTAAATGTCATGAAGGCCAAGCCACGCTTTAATCATGTTCCATACTCTAACCGTGTAGCGGCATTTGAAAAGCAGATGAGCCGCCGATTCCTGGACTTGCTTGCACAGGGGCACATGTTGCAATTAGGCCACCCTCGCTTCTGAAGCCGGTCTGCCGTCCAGATTCTATTGTTGATGACTAGCCAAGCGAAAAACTTGCATTTTTTGGGGGGGGGGGGCAAGTTGTCCAAACAATTTGAGGCAAGTCCGAGTCGACTAAACCGAGAAACTGCGCACTGTAAGCCGTTGCTGCAGAATAGTGACCATCCTTGGTGAGCTTCCAAATGATGGAGTCAGGCATGTCAGGTATTAGCTGAACATGAGATAGCTTCTCCCATAGGTTGACGAACTCATGAAGATGGTCAACAGTCATGCCCTGAGAGGTCTTCACCTGAGACACCCAAAAATTGTTGAGAAGCGCTTTCTGGACCGAGCAATTTCTTCTTTGTGACAGCTCAAAAAAATTTGGTGCAATGTCCTTGGGTCGCAAACCATCAAGCCAAGCAGACTCCCAAAAAATGGCACGTGTACCATCGCCCACGACGACTTTTGTGGAGGCCGCAAAGATGTCTCTATCCTGTCGGTCGCATGGCGTCCCTAATCCCACCCAAGGCTTGATCGGAGTAAGCCACTCACCCCAGAGCCAACAAATGCGTAGAGCAGATGCAAACTTTTTCAGATTGAGAATGCCAAGGCCACCATGAAGTTTTGACTTGCACACTTGCTCCCAATTAATCTTGCATTTTCCTCCAGTGACTTTGTCACATCCAGCCCACAAGAATGCCCGTCGGAGAGCATCAATCTTGTTCATCACCTCAACTGGGAGGTTCAGCGTCGTCATATAATAGATAGCAATGGCCGTAAGCACGGATTTGACCAACACAACATGTCCTGGAGAGGCAACGTGTTTACCCATCCACGGTGTCAATTGGGATGCGATCTTGTCTTCAAGCGGTTGATAGTGGATTCTCTTCAAATTCTTGACCGAGAGAGGTAGGCCCAAATACTTCATTGGGAAGGAGGTACGGCTGGCCGGGAAAGAGTGTAAGATGTCCACCAGGTCCAGGTTCTCACAACGAATAGGAGCAACCAAGCTTTTGGTACAGTTCGTGACCAAGCTAGTGACTTCCCCAAAACTCTTTAGGGTGCGGGCAAAGAACTCAACATCCGACTTGATGGGGGCAAGGAAAACAGCTGTGTCGTCCGCGTAGAGGGAGGCCCGAATTGACATAGCCTGACCATCGAGGGGATGGAGTTTTCCTTGGGCGGTGGCCTTCTGGAGGATTAGGTGTAGCGGATCAATCGCAAGCACGAATAGGAGAGGGGAAAGCAGATCCCCTTGCCTCAGACCACATCCGTGCTTGATGGGGGCCCCTGGAACCCCATTAAGGAGAATACGAGAGGACGCTGAAGAAAGCAAAGTCGAGATCCAGCCCCTGAACCTCGGAGGGAACCCAAGGTGGTTGAGCAAGTCGAGGAGGAAGTCCCATCTAACCGAGTCGAATGCTTTTTTGATGTCGAGTTTGAATAGGAGTGTCGGGGTCTTTTTGCGGTGCAGGCGTTTCGCTAGGTTGCGAACATACATGGAATTATCATGAATGCATCGTTTTTTATGAAAGTACTCTGAGCCTGCGAGACAAGGTCATTCATGTGTGGCGCAAGGCGGTTGGACATCACTTTGGAAATAATCTTGGCAATGAAATGGATAAGACTGATGGGGCGAAAATCTGTGATGTCATCAGCACCATCCTTCTTAGGGATCAAAGCAACATCTGCCGAATTCAACCAGTGGAAATGGGGTGCATGTAGATCAGAGAAATGATTGATGGCACACATAATGTCCGCCTTGATGATGCTCCAACATGCCTTAAAGAACGCACCGGAGAAACCATCCGGTCCAGGGGCTTTGTCTCCTCGCATGGAGAACACAGCAGCCTTCACCTCCTCCTCTGTGATGGCGTTGTCCAACTCATGAAGATCACAATCAGGGGTATGCAGAAGCCCCCAATTGAAGTCTATGTTACGCGAGGGGGGCTTTTTGGCAATGTTTTTGAAGTGTCGGTGCACGATGTCCTCTTTGTGAGCATGTTCTGTAGCCCAACCGTTATTGTTTTTCAGGCGTTGTATGAAGTTCTTCCTCCTTCTGTGGTTGACACGGAGATGGAAGTAGCGAGTGTTGGCATCTCCTACCTTAAGATTGGTAACTCTGGAATTTTGACGCTTTCTAGCCTTCTCCAGGACCGCCAAGCCAATGACCTTCCTCTTTAGTCTCTTTCTGAGGTCCCTCTCATCGGGAGAAAGTTCTCTACGTTCTTGTGCCATATCTAGGTGTAGGATGATTTCCAGGGCCATATGGAGTTGAATTCTAGAAGCAGCGAACAATTGTTTGCTCCAAGAACGCAGCCTCCTACTAGTTCTCTTAAGCTTATGGAAAAGCCGTTGATAGGGCTCACCATGGGGGGAATCCTCATTCCAGGAGTCACTAACAACCTGTTGGAACCCAGGCATCTTGATCCAGTGGTTCTCGAAACGAAATGATTTGGGTCTCTTCGGTCCAGATGCATTGGCAAGCAAGAGAGGGCAGTGATCCAAGAGCGAAGATGATAGGGCTTGGAGAATGTGAGTAGGGAAAACGACATCCCACTCTTCGTTACAGAAGAAACCATCAAGCTTGCTCATCGTTGGATCATTTTGCTCGTTACTCCAAGTGAATTTTCTATTCTGCAAGGGGATTTCCTTTAGCTCGCAGGAGTTGAGTGCGTTGCGGAATCTCACAAGACGAGAACGATTCACATTTGCACGGTTTTTATCTCTAGCCCTGTAGATTTGGTTGAAATCACCATTAACCAGCCACTTGGTTCCTACATGAGGCTTTTGAGAGTTTAGCTCAAGGAAGAAAGCATCTTTGAGATTGTTGCGAGTAGAGCCATAAACTGTAATAAGCTTGAAGGATTATGGTTGATTGCAGTTTTTCATGGAAACAGAGGCCGCGACAATGATCGTTCACGGTCTTCCTGGCGCGACCGTTTCTTTCGGAGCCGCTCTCACGCCCCCGTGCGTAGGGCTGATGATGACCGCCATGGTTCGCGTCGCGAGGAGCGTGGCGGGGACCTTGGCCGAGACGACAGGCGCCGCGCAGAAGGCAGCTCATGGGATCGCTCGGCTGGAGCTCGCAAGATGGTCTGTGGTCGCTCCCTGTCGCCTTCCCCACGCACTACCTCCAGCGACATCATCGAGATTACCCCTGTGAGCTCGGCTTTGGGATGGCTCTGCGGCACGGCTTCCAGAGTGTCCAAGGTGCAGCCGTCGCTCACCATGGACAGCATCAAGACCACTCTTGTTCAAGCTTCCTCCTCCGCGCCTGTGACTGCTATGGCTTCACCAACTCCCCCTGGCCTGGATGCTGCGCCTGATGACGCTCCTGAGGTCGCGCTCACGTCCAAACATTGCGTCTACGCGCCCATCGGCTGCCTGCATCTTTT